CGACCTCATCCACAAAACTTAAATGGATGTGAAAATAAGCAGATTAGCCAGCCAGGCGTGGTGGCTCACGCCCTGTAATCCCGGCACTTTCGCGACTGAGAGGGGCGGATCATGAGGTCAGGAAATCGAGACCATCCTGGCCAACATGGTGAAACCCTGTCTCTACTAAAAATACGAAAATTAGCTGGGCGCAAAGCTGTGCCTGTAATCCCAGCTACTTGGGAGGCTGGGGCAGGAGAATCGCTTGAACCAGGGAGTTGGAGGTTGCAGTGAGCTAAGATTGCGGCACTGCACTCCAGCCTGGCGACAGAACAGGACTCTCAAAACAAGAAAAGGAGGGGGAAAAAAAAAGAAAGAAAACAAGCAGATTAGCAACGGCAAGGTAATACAAACGTAAATTAGGCTTTCAATCGGGTTATAGGTATAAAAACGGGGATGATCATCATGATCCCCAGGCACCTCTGGGAAAAGAAGAGATTTAGGATTAAGAGAAAGATTAGAAGTGTTTGAAGAAAGGTAGACAGACAAAGAGGAGAAAGAGAAGAACGGCCTGCTTAGAACCAGACCGTACTTGGGCACTGCCGGCATGTGAATGAAATGCTACCTGAGAGAGAGACAGAGCAAAGATGCTTTTGCCATGGGCTAGGCAGAGGCAGATGCAGCTGACCTATGAGGAGGCACAAGCTCCAGTGCCCAACAGTCAGAGTAAGATAAACATGAGTGGCTGTTCTCATAGATGCCTTCCTGCAGAAAGGCAGGCAGATTAAAAAATATTTAAAACATCCCTACAGCCAAATCAAACAAGTTCAAGAAACGATTCCAGAGGAGAACTGCAAAAGATAGCTGCTTTCCTTCTCCCTTAGACTATCGAGCAGAATTATTAATATGATGTTCAAGGGCCGTTGATCCCTACAAAAACACAGCTGACTCTTTGCCACCAGTAAGACACTCCCATCCCCTACCCCTTCCACCCTTCCTATCCTGAGCTTCCTCCTCCAGGAAGCTTCCTGATTCCCCTAGGGTCTCTCTGTGGACATGCTCTAAAACACCCTGGATTCCTGCTTCACGACCCTTTCCTGATTGAACTGTGATAGGCTTTTACTGAAATTTATAAGAAGATAAACACTTTGAGTGGCAGAGACTTTGGTTCTTATTAGTTCTATATCCCAAGACTACCTTGCCTGGTACATATTTGAGGCTCAAACTATGTGTTGCATGAATGATTCAATCAAACAGATAAACAATGAGTTAAGGCTGGGGTGTGGTGTTTCTGCACCCCATAATCCCAGCACTTTGGGAGGCCGTGGTGGGCGGATCACGAGGTCAGGAGATTGAGACTATCCTGGCTAACACGGTGAAACTCGTCTCTACTAAAAATACAAAAAAATAAACAAAATATATAAATAAATAAAATTGCCAGGCATGGTGGCAGGCATCTGTAGTTCCAGACACTTGGGAGGCTGAGGCAGGAGAATGGTGCAACCCGGGAGCGGAGCTTGCAGTAAGCCGCAGATCATGCCACTGTGCTCCAGCCTGGGTGATGAGCAAGACTGCTTCAAAAAAAGAGTTAGACAAGTAATGAATAAAAACTGGCATAATATATCTAGAATGTAAGACCAAGGTAGGTGCTGGGATTTTTTTAGCATAAAAGAGAAGGAGAGAGCTCGAGCACCATAGCTCATGCCTATAATCTCAGCACTTTGGGAAGCAGAGGCAGAAGTCAGAGGTTTGGGATCAGCCTAGGCAACATACTGAAACCCTGTCTCTACTATAAAAACAAAAATAAAAATGAAAACCAAACTGCTTTTAGGCACAGTGGCTCATGCCTGTAATCCCAACACTTTGGAAGGTCAAGGCCAGTAGATCAGTAGATTATTTGAGGCCAAGAATTCAAGACCAGCCTGGGCAACATGGCAAAACTTCATCTCTACAAAAAGCCAGGGGTGGTGGCACGTGCCTGTAATCCCAGCTACTCAGGCGGCAGAGATAGGAGGAGTGCTTGAGTCCAGGAGGTGGAGGTCGCAGTGAGCCATGATCGTGCCACTGTACTCTAGCCTGGGCAACAGAGAGAGATTCTGTCTAAATAAATAAATAAAGAGAGGAAGGGCAAATAGGGCAAGTCCTCGTGGAGCCAACAGACAGTCTGAAGGAGGGACCAGCATCTGTGGCCCAGGGGACTATCTAGTCAAACCAACTATTATATGGCCTAGTGAATTTGCCAACGAAAATCATCTTTTACATTTTTTTTTTTTTGTTTTCTTGAGACAGAGTATTGCTCTTGTTGCCCAGGCTGGAGTGCAATGGCGTGATCTTGGCTCACTACAACCTCTACCTCCCGGGTTCAAACAGTTCCCCTGCCTCAGCCTCTCTGGTGGCTGAGACTACAGGCGAGCACCACCACACCCGGAAAATGTTGATATTTTTAGTAGAGACGCGGTTTCACCATGTTGGCCAGACTGGTCTGGAACTCCTGACCTCAAGTGATCTACCCGCCTCGGCCTCCCAAAGTGCTGGGATTACAGGCGTGAGCCACCACACCCAGCCGGAACAATGATATTTCATAACACACACAAGTTATTTGAAATTCCTATTACGGGATCCATAAAGTTTTATTGGAACACAGCTACACTCATGTGTTTACCTATCATCCAGGGCTGCTTTCATGGTGCGACAGTAGAGCTGAGTGGCTGGGACGGAGACCACATGACCCTCAAAGCCTAACTACTGGCTACGTGGCCTTTTACAGAAAAAGTCCACTGACCCATGGCCTGGAGTCTCCACGGGATCACTATATCCCAGGACCCATAAGAAAGCTCTCACCAGTGGCATCTGCTAAATTCTGAGTCCCAGAAAAAAAAAGCTGCCAGACACTGTCTATTGATATAAATGTGACTTAAACATCCATTAATAGAATGCTGGTGAAATTAATAGCATACCCACGCAATGGATTACTACACCGCTGTTTAAAAGAATGAGTTAGACTGAAATGTACGAAGTATAGAAAGATGTCCACATACACCGTCAAAGTAATTTAAAGGACAACATAGACAATATTTTCCAAATTACTTTAAAAGAATAAATGTACATATGTTTAAAAGGTGAGACCAGGGATTATTTTTTTATTTGAAATCCTTTTGTACTTACTGAATTTTTTACCCTGAAAATAAACTATTCTCTAACTTAAAAAAAGATAAAGATGCTGACATTCAGAATGCCATTTTCCCCCATGCCCCTTTGCAATAGAGTAGGTTAGTTGAGACAATAATGGATCCAAATTATTCATATCCCCTGGCAACCTGACCTTCCAAAAATCTGGATCCAATGTTGTCCCAAATAACTGATGATCTCATGGTCCTACGGTCCAAATTCTGTGTTTTGCATACATAGACACACTCTTCTCTGAACCTTCAAGTCTTCGGTATCAGTACAAAGCTGTTCATGTGTTTGTTTTGAGGAAGTGGAAGATTAGAACGGTCAGAAATAGTCCTACTTCCCCTTTCCTGGAAACTTCATTACCTCTTCCACTAGACCACGCCTCTTGAGCCTGCAGAACATCAGGTTGCCAGGGGATACGAATAAACCAACTGCCCTCTTTGTGTTTCTGCTAAACAGTAGCTGGCTCCCCTGTCACTAGGACCTCCCTGTCCTGGTGCAGGCTGATAATCATCAGCTGTAGTAACGATACCCGCAGGTGGGAAGGGGTGGTCAGGTAGTCAGGTGGGCACAGAAGAGTGAGAGGCCAAGGCTGAGCCAGCAGGTGGATCTGGGTAGGAGTTTCGTCTTCTGCCTCAGCACGTATGTCTATGATCCCCACTAAATCTAACTTTGCTTGGTTTAAATCCTCTCAGTTCTTTCATGGTAATTTCTTTTTTTTTTTCCCCCTTGAGACGGAGTCTCGCTCTGTTGCCCAGGCTGGAGCGCAGTGGTGCGATCTCGGCACGCTGTAAGCTCCGCCTCCCGGGTTTACACCATTCTCCTGCCTTGGCCTCCAGAGTAGCTGGGACTACAGGCGCCCACCACCACGCCCGGCTAATTTTTTGTATGTTTAGTAGAGACAGGGTTTCACTGTGTAAGCCAGGATGGTCTCAGTCTCCTGACCTCGTGATCAGCCCGCCTCGGCCTCCCAAAGTGCTGGGATTACAGGCGTGAGCCACCGCGCCCGGCCTCTCATGGTAATTTCTTTGGGGAGTCATGGAGGTCAAGACACAGCTCTGTTTAGCTGGTTTGCCCTGTCCTGCCCTGCCCAAGACCACAGCCTGCAATAGTGCCCTCCATTCACCTTGTTACTGAACCTGCCATGCGGTGCACTCCCTTTTACAGACCATCTACAGTCAACTTCTGGGGATCCTGGGGTCATTTGAAGTCCCGGGAGGTCTCTAATGATTGGCGGCATTGAGGTGTGGTTCTATTCAACTCAGAAAAGCATGTGGAAACTACTATTTGATGGAATAAATAACCCCTAAGCACCCCCAGCATTTCCCAAACAACATCCGGAGAAACACCAGCCAGTGAGATACTTAAGGAAAAAGATGATGATGTAGCGAAATTAGGGAAACCTCACATTTGCAATCCCCGTTTTGAAGCTTCAAGATCATTCAAACCTTCCAAATTCCAAGAGATCATACAGCGGCTTCGCCTCATTCATTTTATTCAAACCAGCTGTTGACCACAGAACCTTTTGAGATACCTTTGAGAAAACACAGCCCCAGACGAAGAGGTTGGGTTTAACGCAGATACCCAGGGTGGACGTGAGGATCCAAGGAGGACTCAAACCATGAAGGGCAGCCTTCTTTCCAAGATACTCCCAGAACTACTCCCCCAGACGTGCACCCCCTACCACCCAGCACAGTGGGAGGAGCAAGACCCTGCAGACCCTGAGCATAGACTTAAGAAGACAAAGCCCCCAAACAGAGAGGTGAAGAAGGGTGAAAAAACCTGCCTCTCTAGAGAGCCGGAACGCCAGGGGGTCGGTGCAGGATGCTCCCCCAAGCAGCACTCACCATTGGTGGTCGTGTTGACATAGTACCGCCGGCCCTGAGGTGACAGGTAGCTTTGCCAGCCAGGTGGAAGGATGACCGTCTGGCTTTCTTCTCCAGGCGGTGGGGGGACCATTCCAGGCTTCTGTTGGAGGAGAAAGAGAAGGTCACACCCATTTGGCATTTTTGCAGGAGTTTTTAAATGAGGAAGGCAGAGGCTGATGAATTCACCCTAGAGTAGGTTGACATTGGGAAGTCGGTGGCCCACAAACCCCTGAGGTCAGAGGCAGCACACACGTGATCTCAGGGGTTGCATGAGCATGAGCGATGAGGAGCACCCGAGCTTTCAGAGCCCCTGCACAGGGGACAGCTCCTCTGGGAGCAGAGAGAAAAATGCCATTCAGCTAATGGAACTGGACTTTCTCCACGGCCCCCTAAAAAACCACTCACAGGGTGCTGGGCTTGCAAAGGCGCCCTGTCACTCCACCAGCTCCCACTGTGAAATCTGAAGTCTGAAATTCCCAGACCACAAAGCACAGCAGCAGACAAGGCCCCAGGCTTGCTTTGCAAGCCTAGCAGAAGTAATTAATGCAAGTCATCCCACAGCGAGATGCAAAACATTCTATAATAATGCTGAGAATCCATGAAGAGCTGGATGGAGCTTCTCTCGCCAACGGTCCAGATCACTCTGGCAAAAAGAACTAGGACTCGGAGACAGAAAAGACGCTGACTTCCCATTGTATGCACTTATGTGAGGTTTAATTCTTTCAACCATGTATAGAGTTACTTTTCGTTAAAAAACAAATCAGAGAAAAATGTATACGACATATAAAGAAACTAGATATCGAGTAGACACATACTAAAAAAAACCAGCCATGGCTGGGCGCAGCGGCTCACGACTGTAATCCCAGCACTTTGGGAGGCCAAGGTGGGCGGATTGTCTAAGCTCAGGAGTTCGCGACCAGCCTGGGCAACATAGTGAAACTCCATCTCTACTAAAAATACAAACAATGAGCCAGGCGTGGCGGGGTGTGCCTGTAGTTCTAGCTACCCTGGAGGCTGAGGCAGGAGAATTGCTTGAACCTAGCAGGTGGAGGTTGCAGTGAGCAGAGATTGCACCACTGCACTCCAGCCTGGATGACAGAGCAAGACTCTATCTCAAAACAAACAAAAATAAAACAAACAAACAGCCATGATCCCTGGGTGCTGGGATTACAGGCAATTATTACTCTCTCTTTTCTACCTATCTGTTCCACCTAAATTTTCTCCCATACACACAGAAACCAAAGTTGTTAGCTAAAGAACATTTTAAAATTAGGACAGAGAGTCCAAATTAGCCCATAAGATTGCTATGCCTTTTGAAGTTAATTGATTAAAATCAGAATTCTAGCCACACGAAGAGAGTAGCCATGAATTTCTCAGCAAAGCCAGGGGCTATTCACAAACAGTAAAGGTAATCGGTTCCCAAACGTCCTCAGTATCCCTCAGCTGTGCCCACAGTGGTGGTCCCTGGTGACCCCCGCTTAGGGAAACAAGGTAACAGAATGAAAGAGAGCGGCAGAGACACACAGCTCCCAGGCTGCTCTCATGCTTTGTGAAGGTTGCAAAACCACGTGCCGTGGCTTCCCGTGGTGCCCTGCATGTCATCGGAGGGAACGAGTAAATCTGAGCTGCTAGGGGACTCTGAGTAAACACAGCCTCCCTTCTGCGTAGCTGTGGTGTAAGTTTCATAATGAATTTTCACAACTTAATTAAAAGCTTTCCCCTAGACCCCGGACGCTCCGTCTCCTACACCTGCTAACCTGCAGCACCCATTTGATTCCGTATGGAAGACTGTCTTCTAAGAAAGCAGGAGACAGGGAGGTGGACAGCAGCCAGGCTCAACATGGTGTGGCATCCCACACCCAGGGTCCCAGGTTGCTGTCTCACCAGCACGTCCAGGAAGCATAAGCTCACGTCTGGGCAGGTTTACCTGGGCCTCCATACTGCTCTGGCCTCTCCAGGATTGGAAGATGGCCAAAATACACGCAAGACAAATAGGATTATTATAACAAGGTGCGTGCGTGTGTGTGTGCGCGTGTGCACGCATGCATGTTGAAAGAGAGACGTATCCCATGCACAGGAGATGTACGCTCTGTCCAATGGGATTGGAAATAAAGTCGGCATGGGCGGGGGGTCAGGGGATTAAAAATGAGGGTTAGGGCCGGGTGCAATGACTCATACTTGTAATCCTAGCACTTTGGGAGGCCGAGATGGAAGAATGGCTTGAGCCCAGGAGTTTGAGACCAGCCTGGGCAACACAGGAAGACTCCATCTGCAAATAATTTTTTAAAATCAGCCGGGTGTGGTGGCATATGCCTGTGGTCCCAGCTACTCAGGAGGCTGAGGTGGAAGGATCGCCTGAGCCTAGGAGGTTGTTGCAGTGAGCTGTGATCCCACCACTGCACTCCAGCCTGGGTGACAGAGTGAGACCCTGTCTCAAATCAAAGAACAAAAAAATACAACGACAGGCATGAGTGTTTGATGAAAGAGATTCTAGAACCAGAGGGGCAAGATGCCAGGTGTCCTCTCCTTGAGTGAAATATTCTCGTTTCTCCTTCAATCAAATGTGGGAAAGCCACATTGGTGCTTACCCAAATAACCTGGGAGGAAATGGGAAGGATCAAATACTGACAGCGCCAGAAAAGGGGTGCAGAGATGGGAACCCATAGGCACAGTGAAAACAGCCCTGAGGCTCAAACAGCCTTCAGTGCCAATCCTGCCTGGACCACTTGACAGCCATGTGACCACAGGCTACTGACTCACCAGGCTATTCTCGAATCTGTGAAACGAAGGGTGATAACATGAGCCCAGTTGCGGAAGACACTGGAGAGGGTAACAATAAACAACCTGGCACCTAGGCATCCTGAGGGATGCGCAATGAATGGGGGTTTCTGCTGGAAGAGCTTCACGCAGTCTCTGTCTGCGGCAATACCGACCTCCACCCTCACCTCACCATCCCTCTGTCTGAAACGTCACCATCAACAGTCACTTCTCTGAGGTTTCTGTTTCCAATACTACCCTCCTTGGAAGGCAAACACCTGCTGGGGAGGTTAACAGCTTGAGAACTGCCCAGTGCGTTCTGGTGAGACGGCTAGACAGTGAGGAGACCACTCCTTACAGGGGCTAGAAAGCCAGTGGACCCAACCTGTGACCCTCAGTGTCCCACCCATGAAAGAGCAATAACGATGCCGTCCCTTCTCCGCAAGACACTGATGACCAAGGAGCTCTCCTCCATTCTGGAAATTCAGGACCTTACAGAAGGTGGGAGGCACCCTGATACTGAGCCATGAAGGGCCATGAGATGCTGAAAGAAGGGAGGAGGAGGGGACTGGGGCCACCAGGCCCATCTCCTAATGTGGCTGATGTGGCGAAGGTGGTCTCCACATCTCCCTCCTGCAGGGCCACACTCTGCCTCCATCTCCCGAGGCAGCCGCAGTCCCATCACCTTTCTCTTCTCCTAGAAAGAAGTTCCTCCTGATGGCTGACTTTTAAAAAGTCAGGAGTCAAAAGACACAGAGACAACCAGGTACAGACCCAAAAACCTAGAAACAAGCAGTCAAACAAAAACTGGTCCATGGATGCTCATAGCATTCTCATTCGTAATGGCCAAAAAGTGGAAAAAACTCAAATCTCCATCAGCAGATGGATGGATAGTGTAGTATAGACATACAAGAGAGTATTATTCAGAAATTTTAAAAAATGGAGCCATGATACATGCTACAACACGGATAAACCTTGAATACGTTATGCTAAGTGCAAGAAGCCAGACACAAAAGACCACGTCTTCTTTGATTTCATTCATATGAAATGCCCAGAATGGGCAAAGCCATAGGGATAGAAATAGATTCGTCTTTTCCAGGGGCCTGGGGAGGGGAGGATGGGTACAGATTTTCCCTTTGGGGTAATGACAATGTTCCGGAACTGGATCGTGGGAAAGGTTGCACAATATCATGAATGCATAAATATCACTGATGATAAATATTTTGTCATGTGTACTGTACCACAATTAAAAAAAAATTTTTTTTGGCTGGGCACAGTGGCTCATGCCTGTAATCCCAACACTTTGGGAGGCCAAGGCAGGTGGATCACCTGAGGTCAGGAGTTCAAGACCAGCCTGGCCAACCTGGTGAAACCCTGTCTCTACTAAAAATACAAAAATCAGCCGGCCGTGGTGGTGGGTGCCTATAATCCCAGCTACTCCCAGGAGGCTGAGGCAGAGAGAATCGCTTGAACCCACGAAGCAGAGGTTGCCGTGAGCCGAGATCGCGCCACTGCACTCCAGCCTGGGTGACAGAGTGAGACTGTTTCAAAAATAAAAAATAAAAAAATAAAAAAATTTTTTGCAGGTGTTGAAGGCAGAAGTTAGACCTCCCTACCTTCAGAGTCCTCACTTAAGGTCCAGCACAGCATTACCTCACCCTTCATGGCCACGGAGGGCAGAAGCAGCCAGCCCCAGGCATCCAGAGGACACAGTGTGCGTAACCACCCAATAATTAAGGCCTCTCTCAATCTTATTCTTCTAATTAGTTTCCTTCCAAGTTAAATCCTTCCCTTCTCTTCCCTTAGTCCTGTGGCTGAGGCAGGAGAATCGCTTGAACCCAGGAGGCGGAGGTTGCCGTGAGCCGAGATCGCGCCACTGCACTCCAGCCTGGGTGACAGAGTGAGACTGTTTCAAAAATAAAAAATAAAAAAATAAAAAAATTTTTGCAGGTGTGTTGAAGGCAGAAGTTAGACCTCCCTACCTTCAAGTCCTCACTTAAGGTCCAACAGCACCAGCATTACCTCACCCTTCATGGCCACGGAGGGGCAGAAGCAGCCGGCCCCCAGGCATCCAGAGGACACAGTGTGCGTAACCACCCAATAATTAAGGCCTCTCTCAATCTTATTCTTCTAATTAGTTTCCTTCCAAGTTAAATCCTTCCCTTCTCTTCCTTAGTCCTGTGGCTTTTTCCCTTCAATTCTGTCAGCGCTTTCCCGTGGGAACTGAACTAGAAGCAGAGGTGACATGGGCCCAGGGGGTTGGGGACAGAATGGCTTTTTCCCTTCAATTCTGTCAGCTTTTTCCATCAGACTAAATTGGGCAAAGAGACAGCTTCATAACTGGGTTGGACAAGCAGCCACCTAGAAGAGGTGGTGACCCGCAGAAGTAGGATGAAGAACTGAAGTTTTCTAGCAAATTCTTTACACCTAAATACACAAGATCTTTATGGATATTAAAGTGTTCTTCTGGAAAGACAGTCTCAACAAATTGCAGGCTGCTTCAATCCACCCTCATCCACCTCAACAAGACATCCTGTTCAGTAGGTGTTATGTTAATGATATAATATGGATGCGATCTCTAAAATCTGAAAACTATGATCTTTACATCCACAGCAATAGGTTATCTTTTACATATTTTATATATAGCATAGAGGGATCTAGTTACTTTAAGTTTTTCTTCTAGAAGATTACAAATAGCCCAAACCAAGATCATTAACATCAAAATAATAATAGCATTATTTCTCAGTCTTTAAATTATCTTATATTGCTGCAGATGGATTTGGTTTAGACAATCATCATTTCGTCACAACAGCCTGCTCATGGTGCAGCATTTTATCCTGAAAACAAGATCTGAGTGTGAGGTTAATACTTTTGCCAGTGTGGCACAGTAGTCAAATAGCAAAAGCAAATGCTTATCTCAGCAAAATCAGTTACGACCTCAGCACATAATCCAACGGCTTTGAAGGCTGCTTGAGTAAGATTATAAGACCAGAAGAATTCAAAGTCAATACAAATAATAATAAGACATCTCTATTTCAAATTAGTAATTACCAAATAACTGCGACCGAGGACTTTCATCAGTTTTTTATAAAAAGTGGGCGCCACTGCTCTTTTACCATTCTTTCATTGAGACCACACAGCTTACTATCCTTTCCAAGGTGCATTTCAGTAGTCACCTCTTTATGCCCAGTCTAATTTGGCTATGCAGTGTGTATCTCACCATCCAGCAGTCAGCAAGCCACATTTAGCTCCCTCGGCCAGAGTGCAAGGCCAGGCTCCAGTCCTTCTCCATCCACCCTCACCCGGGCCTCCCTGTTCAGTAGGCAACCTGTTCAATGATATATATGGAAAGCGCATCCTCTAAGAATCTGAGGAAGGCTGTGGATCTTCTGTCCCCTAAAATGGGTGCGCACACACACATACACACGCTATTTTATATGTAACATCAGGAGGTTTCTAGACTACTTCAAAACCCCACTCTAGAAAGTACTCGAGAAATATCTGAGCTCAGATCCATTTGTATCCATCAATAATGGTTTTTTACCAGTCACCAAGTATCTATAATGCATGCCAGACTGGACCGGGTGCTTCAGACAATCAACTACTCGTCACAACAAGCCTGCCTCATAGATGGCATTTATCCCTGCTTTAAAACAATACATCTGAGATGCAGAGGGTTTAATAACTTGCCCAGTGTGGCACAGTTAGTTAAATGGTAAAAGCAAACTGCTTAAAAATATCAGCTGGTCAGATGCACCGACTCATGCCTGTAATCCCAGCGTTTTGGGAGGCTGAGGCAGGAGGATTGCTTGAGGCCAGGAATTCCAGGGCAGCCTGGGCAATGTAGCAAGACTCCATCTCTACACAAAATTAATTAATACAAATAATAGCTTTGTTCTAGAGACTTCTATCCAGTTACCTTAAAGGTGGGCCACATCTCTCCCCAGTTATACCTACTCAGCTCTATTTCCCCACCGAGACCACCCGACACCCCAGCTCCTTCCCAAGGAGGATGACGACTCAAGCCTGATCCTCCTGCTTGTCTCCCAGTCCCCAAGTGAGCATATGATGTGCAAAAATATCACCGCCCGCGTCCAGGCCGTCACGTTCCCTAGCTGTAGGCTGACTTCCTTGTCTCTGTATTTAAAAAAACAACGCAACCCCTAACATTTTCCCCTTAATGGTGGCTACTGATTCCCCCTTTTAAAAAAAAAAAAAAAAAAGCAGGCAAGCAAAGTCACCCAGAGATTACAGAGATCAAAAACAAATCCCCCCACAGCAGTGTTTCTCAAAGTATGGTCACCGCGGGGCACCCCAGCAGCCACCTGGGATGTGGGTTCAAATGCACACTTTCAGGCCTGACTCAATCTCCAGAGCGGCCTGGGAGGCTGCATTTGTTACAATGATCCTGGGTGAGTCCTGGGCTCTGAAGCCACTCCGTTGCAGCGCTAGAGGCAGCGACTGAGAAAAGCATCACTTCTGAAACGAAAACTGAGATCATAGAATTTGTACCAGCATGATCTGTAAAAAGACAGTGTTGGGCTGCACAGTGACTTATTAAAGAAAAAGAGTCTGTCCCATTGCCCCAAACCCTTCCAATAAACTATTTGACAGTGGAGGTTGTCTCTGCAGCCTCCAGGCGGTGCAGACCCCGCTACTCCGCTCCCTACCGCTCCTACCATGCTTCAAGCTCAAGTTCAACCTGGGTGCCATCTCCACCTCCGGGACTCTCCCCCGCTCCGGAGGCTTCTGAGAACACCTGACTCTTACCTTCTCCTAAAGCTGCGAGCAAACGCTACTTGCTGGCGTTAATGGGTGGTCGTCAGACACTCGCTTTAGCAGCCGGATCAGACGGTTTTAAGGTCTCCCGCTCTGCGTCCTCTCACACCCCAAACCCAGAAGCAATAGGAGCTCTAAAGAAAAGCATATCCACAGGGCCCCACACCCCCACTCCCCCCACACCCAGATCTATATATAACAGCTCTGAAGTTGTCAGCCTAACGAGCCACTTTCTGGCAGACCCGTTGCTATGGCAATGCTTGCTAATGAGCCCAGTGCCGTGATTGGCACTGCTTGAAGGCTCCTCCACAAAGGACTCTCCAGCAAGTTCTCTCTTCCCCAACCATCTGCAGACCTCATGCGTGGCAATGCTTGCTAATGAGCCCAGTGCCGTGATTGGCACTGCTTGAAGGCTCCTCCACAAAGGACTCTCCAGCAAGTTCTCTCTTCTCAACCAGGTCCCAATATTGTGTGGATCACTGGTCCATGGCCTGGGGATTGGGAAGCCAGCCCAGTGTTACCCATACTTTTTATCTTATTTTTTGGAAACACTTTCCACTCTATATTTTGATTCCTCTGTATTTTATAGACAACTTAGAAATTCTTTGGATCAAGACAGGTCTAATATTGTGTTTTAACATACAACTTTGAATTATTAATTTTTTATCTGTGTATGACAGAGATGTGAAATAAACTAATCCAATTCATTTCAATTTACTTTTATTTCATGTATATTAAGAATAAAACTGGGAAGTCCTATGCAGAGCAACTGGCAAGAGAAATAAAGGACATCCAAATTGGAAAAAGCAGGCAATCAAACTATCTCTCTCTAACAATTATCTGATCTTATCCCTAGAAACCCTAAAGACTCCTGAATAAAAACACTCTTAGACTTGATAAATAAATTCAGTAAAGTCTCAGAGACTACAAAATGTACAAATACCAATGGGTAGTACCACTATACACCACCTACAGCCAAGCTGTGCATCACAACAAGAACCCAGTCCCTTTGACAATGGCTGCAAAAGAGTAAAATACCTAGGAAAATACTTAATGAAGCAGGTGAGTCAGCTATAAAAGGATAACTGGAAAACACCACTGAAGAAAATCAGATGACAATAAATGAACATACATCCTATGCTCCTGGACTGAAAGCATTGATATTGCAAAAATGACCATAGTGCCCAAAGCAGTCTACAGATCCAATACAGTTTCTATCCAAGTACCAATGTCATTCTTCACAGAGTTATTTTAAAAAGCTGCCATTCATGTAGAACCACAAAAGAGCCCGAATAGCAGCACACACACCAAGCAAAAGGAACAAAACATGTTGGCATCACATGACCTGAAACTGTAATTGCTTTAATGAGGTAAAAATGTATAAGAATATCACTGTTATTGTACAGAGAAGACAGTGAACAAGAAAAGAAAAAGGAATTTAAAGAGAATATCACTACCATATACATATATTAACTGACAGACTAAATCTCCTACTGAGATTATGTTAAGACTTGAGCAAAAGCTTCTAGAAATACTAAAAACAGAAACAAGACAAATAATTTTAAGGAATAAATTTTACAGAGAAATATGTATTTTAAAAAAAGAAAACAGATCTTCCTGAGTGCTATTATTAAACTAATTCATCTTGACCAAAATTTTAAAATGAGGTAAAATTCTGAATATAAAATAGATTCATTTTTAACACAGTTAATTGAAGGCAACTTTTAAAAACCAAAATGTTCAGTTAAAGTTGAGTCTAACTAGGGAAAGAAATGACCTGTACCAATGGTAACAAGAAGCCACCCAGAGCCAGTTTGAAATCTAGTTAACCAATCAATGACCACTGGTCTTTCTGTTTCACCAACCACTGTTACAGATGTGAGCAGCTTGCTTCGTGAAACAGCCAAGCAGCAGCACCTGCTCCATCAGAAGAGCCAGTGCCTGACCAGTATTCTTCTTACTATAGGAAGCAAGTGTAATTCCAACTTGCTCCTTTTATTTCAACACACAAAGGTTCATAATCCCTTGAAAATAATTTGTAAGTCCATTAAATGCCACCCCAATTTTTAAAAAATAAAAGTGAGAGTGGCCGGGCAGTGGCTCACGCTTGTAATTCTAGCACTTTGAAGGCCGAAGTGGGTGGATCACCTGACGAAAGAGTGTGAGGCCAGAAGCCTGACTCAACATGGTGAAACTCCTGTCTCTACTAAAAATACAAAAAATTAGCCAGGCGTGGGTGGCAGGCTGTAATCCCAGCTCTCAGAGGCTAAGGCAGGAGAACATGAACCCAGGAGGCAGTGAGGGTGCAATGAACTGAGACCCCACCACTGCACTCCAGCCTGGGCGATAGAGTGAGACTCCATCTCAAAAATCAAATCAAATAAAATACTAGTAAAGTTTGCAATTCCTCTGACTCAGTTTACCATAATTACAATTATGATTACTAGTAAAAGAATAAATAATGAATAACCACAATATTGGGCTTTTGACCCTAAATAAAAATATATAAAGAATGTAGCTTATTATAAAAGAGCCAAAACAATTTTTTAAATGTATATAATTAGCAGGCAAAACTATTAGAGTAATCACTACATCAAACTTTTAAAAGTGAGAATCAATCAAACAATATACCCAGGATAACCCACTCACTCATTTAATAAGGATTTATTAGGTAACTACATCCAATATGCTAGGTCTTTTTCTAGGCAGTGAGGATATGGTAGTGAAAAATAAAATCCCTATTCATGAGAGTGAGATAAACACACAACAGACAGAAAGACAAAATATACAGCAGTCGCTAGGAGGAGAAAAACTAAAGCAGGAAAAATGAAATGCTTATGCGTTTGATGGGGAGGGTGGTAGGAAAGTTGGGATGGTCAGAAAAGTCTTTATGAAAGGGGATTTTTTTCTTCTAATACAAAAACCTTTTATTTGTATATCAAAGACTCTAAGAAATGATGATATAAGGTTAAGAGTGTTGATGTCAAGATACAAATGGATTTGAAGTTAGAGATGATAAATCACTTTGTTTCATTGAACCTTCCCTTTGTTGTTAGAGAGCCTCCTGGTACACTCCCAGTTAAATCTTAAGCATGATGCTGGCCCGGGTAGTACATGGTTCTTCCTCAGAAAGTGGTTGTTCCATAATGTGTTTCTTTTTACCCTTTTTCTACTTCTTAGTAGAAAGGAGGTTTTAAATAAAGAACTGAAGGAATGGAAAGAGTAAGCTAGGAGGATATCTGGGGAAAAAGCATTCCAGACACAGGGAACTGCTATGCAGAAGTGTGCTTGGAGTCTTTAAGCACTAGGGGTGGTAGATATGATGGCAAGAATTTCAGTGAGGCTGAAGCAGAGCAAGGAGAGAATTAGGAGGAAAAAAACTTGACACATACTCAGAGTGAAATGGGAGGCAATCAGAAGGGCTGGGGCAGAGGACGACACAATTTGACTTATATTTTTAAGTAATATCCTACACTGAGTTAAGAATTGTAAAAGGAAGTTTTTAAAAGCCAGAACTATCGACAGCCAGTCTATGACACTCATGTAGACTGCAGATGAGGGTGGCTCAGATGTAGAAGATATGACTGGCTTCTGGACATATTCTTCAGGTAGACCTGACAAGATTTACTGAGAGATTACATGTGAGGTGTCAGAGAGAGAGAGAGATGAGTCAAGAAAGACACTTCAGATTTTGGCAGAGCAACTGGAAGAGTTGCCCTTACCCAAAGTAGGAACAATTACATGAGGGGTAGATTTCAGGAAGGCCATCTGTAGCCTGGATTTTATCTGACAAGTGTGTGATACCCAATAGAAGCAACCAAATAGAGATGTCAAGTAGGCAGGCTGGTTAATGGAAATCTGAATTAGGGAGAGAGAGATCTGGAGCTTAGAGACATACATTTGAAATCACTAGCATATACACGTGTAGAAAGTCACGAGGGGCTGTGCAGGGCTCATGCCTGTAATCCCAACACTTTGTGAGGCCAAGGCAGACAGATCACCTGAGGTCAGGAGTTTGAGACCAGGCTGGCCAACATGGGGAAATGCTGTCTCTACTAAAAATACAAAAATTAGCCAAGCATGGTGGCACAAACCTGTAACGGCAGCTACTCAGGAGGCTGAAGCAGGAGAATCGCTTGAACCCAGGAGGCAGAGGTTGCAGTGAGCCGAGATCACACCACTGAATCCTAGATCAGTGACAAAGTGAAACCTGTCTCAAAAAAAGAAAAGTCATGAGAGAGAAGACTGGAGGACTTGAGCCCTGGGAAAAATAATGTCCAAATGGAGAAAGATGAGGAGGAGCAAGCAAAACAGACCATGATGAAAGGATTCATGGAAAGGCAGGAGGAAAAGTCTGAGGGACTGAGGTCCTGAAAGCCAAGTTGAAGACGCTATTAGAGAGATGTCCTCCATTGGCTCAACACGTTGACAGATTAAATAAAATGAAGTGTAAGAAAAATGCCTAGATTTATTACAGAAAAAAATTAGTGATAATCTTGAGGAAAAACAATGTTGGAGGAGTGCTGAAACTGAAGACTTACTGGTGTGAGATTAAGAGTGAATGAAAAGAAAATTGAGTTCATGAGTGTAGACAGTTCTTTTAAGGACACCATACTTAGGAGTCATGACTGAGAATGTTGTCATTTTCTTCCACAGTCATGGAAAAGTAATAGACAATTAGTTTTAAATTTTATATAACAGGTGTAGTCTTCAAATTTTATATAACAATTATATGGTTTTAAAGGTTATAAAATTATACACATGTGGCATTAAAAATGCCAAACTGAGGTGTTAAATTCTTAAAACTATAGAACTAAAAGTTGCCTTGAACATTTCTAGATTCCATAAGCTGAATATCACTTTGTTCATGCTTATACATAAAGACCAAGAAACACTAAAAGTTTCTTATGAGAGTATTTGCTTGATAAAATCAGCCAATTCTAGAACAGTTGATACTCATCAACATACAAAGTAATTGATCACAGAAAAATACTGAGTTCTATCAACAGGAGTAAAGTGGTAGAAATGCTGAAAATAATCTTATTTTATAAATGAAATTTTAAAAATTATATGAATACTGTGAAAACTATGGTGTGGTGAATACTGAAATATATCCTTTCTCAAAGGAAGGATATGTCACACACATGCAGGGCACTTTTATGAA